CCCCCCATGGCTGCTCATGTCTGCTTTCCTGACCATTTGTTGCAAAAAATCTGCAGTTTTGCTGTTGATTGAGCTCTACTGTCATTAACGCAGATATTTGGTTAAACTGTAGCCGGTACGAGACATACTTTGGACAGAACCCACTCTGTCTCCTTCTAAAGCTGCTCTACCTTATTAAATCTTGGTTTTCAATGTATTTATGTTTCAGGTGAACTCAGTTTTTCTGTTAAAAACAAACTGCTATGGGAATTTCTTTTGCACGGTGTTTCTTTCATTCAGACCACAAACTGCCTTATTACATTAACTCTCCTGACAATTGATTCAAGTAGAATACTTCTCTCCCAAGACAGAAAACGACATCATTTTTACGGATGTCGCAGAACAACACTTCCAATTTAAACAGTTCCCTAAAATAACACAAAATACTTGAAATAACAGTTGCTACTTACTAAGGCTCTCTACTCCAGTGATCCATATATCCTAATATTAAAAAAAAAAAAATTACTCTCTCATTTCAATAGTAATTTTGCAGAATATGCCACAAAAATAATGCCACAAATTTAGCTACACACTCTATGTTCTTGTCTGTGCTTAATACTGCATTTTCTTCATTGTTCTTTCCTGTTTGTACCTAGAAACATATTCAGGTATGCAGCTTTTACACACTTTTGGCTTTCTGAATGGAGCAAAAGCTTGGTTCACTTCTGTAAAAGGCTATCTTATGCTGGGCTTCCATTTAAGGGAACTACCAAGAACAAGACTTAAACCAAAACCAAACCAAAACAAACCCCAAAACACCACAAAAAACCCAAACTGTTTTTCTTTATATCTCCAATGCAAAGACAGTTCCCAGTGTACTGGTCATGGACTTGCAGAAAAGATTTATTAAACTGAAACCAAGCAATACTGAACAAAAAATAATTTGACAATCAAATTGGAGCCAAACACTAACTTGCAGTTAAGGAGCAACTCTTATACACAGGAGAGACAGAAAATCTCTTGTTCGTTGTTCAATTCTCATATTTCTTACAAAAACAAGACAACTGGAAGAACTTATCTATAAACCAACTTGTATAGAATTTTTAAGGTATTTACTGGTAGTTAACAAAACACACGTTCGCACATATGAAAAAAGGCCTCCTGACCAACCTATGAAAGTTAACTAAATGTAAGATAGATTTGGGTTTTGGGTTTATTTAAATCTGTCAATTGGAGGCAGATTCGTAAGCAACAGTTCAAAATTTTTCTTTTATAACCTTGTAAGACCCCAGACACTTGCAGTCGTAACAGGCAGCTGCCCCTCCTAGATAACAGAGCTTGGATCAAGTTCCTTCTGCGTGCCTTCTTCAAAAATGCTTATGAGTTTATATGAATTCCAATATGCAGTTTGATCACACTTGGAGAAGCCAAACCAATTTTGATCAAATTAATAATGGAGAACATAGTAGTGAAAGTGCAGTAGCTTTGAGTCAATGACCCAACTAGCAGCAAGGGTATAATTTAAAGTCAGAAATTTCCAGTGCATGCACCGTTAGCCACAGTGAACCTCTTACTGCTCTAAAGGGAATTGTTTGCCTCTTATTAGATTTTCTACAGCACAGCCATAAGTGATAAATGTACTGCTGTACTCACTGTCAAGTTAATCAATGCTGCCAAAGTTTTGTTGACCTAACAGTAATCCATAAAGTGAGCGGCATTTTCTCTATCCCTATGACATCTCGGTCCTCAGTGGGGATACAAATCTTACAACAGCTTCTTAAAAAAAATGAAAAAACAAAGCAAAGCAAAGCGGGGGGGAAAAGAGACATTTTCAAAATTCTGTCTTTAAATTAGCAGACTGTGAGAATTCTTTGCCTCTCTGACAAATTGCTTAAAAACGAAGGCCACACAATGGATTCAGTTTGATGGTTAAAATACTAGCAAATGGATGATTTCACAGAGGACAAAGCCTTTCCTACTGAAAAGAAGGTAAAAACCAGCTTCAGGAGCCTTCCAAGGAACCAGTTGTGAACACGATTTACTTGCGCCTCTAGATCAGCGCACCGGTTCAAACAGAGCACCGTGCAGCAATTCTGAAGACAGTAATGTGAAAACAATAATAAAAAATCACCACCAATAAAACTTGTCTATTGCCACGTCTGCCTGTGATTCACAATCCATGAGAGGCATTACCACTGAAAAGAAGAAAAAGTCAGGAAACAATCCCTGGTAGAGCGAGCTGCTCTATAAACAAACTGCTGCCATGCTCTCACAAGCAATTATAGACATATGAAATATGAATTGCCATTGATTTTTCTTCTAGAGGTCACTCTGCTTCATGTTTTACGCACTCTAGGCATTTATTTGGGTGGCAAACTGACAAGTTTTTACAGAATTAACGGAGCAATGTAATCCTTGCTCAATCGCAGGTACTTCATTATGGTTCTGTTCCTTGACACTTGTCCCTCCCAAAACTCACTAGCAAGGGAGTCCTCGATAAAGGTGAGGAACAATGCAATTACTTGTGAAAAGAGACAACCCTAACTTGGTCAGCGAACGCTTATTTACTATTTCTGTGCTGATGGCAGACAAGCAGCATCAGTCAGAGGGCTGCGTTTATCACAGCATAGTAATTCTGCAGATAACGTCCTCATTTGGCTAATACTCTCCACATTCTTGTTACTGAAAGAGGGATGAATCCTCTGGAATGGAGAAACAAGATTGCAAGTTAGACCCCTAAGAGCAATAACACAGCTACCTCAATTTCTGTTAAAAATTATTGTAACATTAAAATACTGCAAGAATGCCAAGCTGCTCTCCTTAGATCTCATGGTTTTGATGTTATCTTCACACTTAGCAATTGCTTGACAATTCTTGCTCAGCATCCAGAGAACTGCCTGATTTTGGCCAGTGAAGTCCACAAATAAGGTTGAAACTGAGAATCATGTATCCTGGCATTTTTAGACAGCAATCTTCTTCACTTCTATTATTCATTTTTGGCACAAATATTTGGTCTCTGGGTTTCCCGTGGAAGAATGATTTGCAAAAAGGCTCTGCTGCACCCTTCCTTCCCAGTGGTTGTTTTGTTCCCAAAGACTCTGGTTTACCCTACAAGTAAGACCTGGCATCTGAAGCAAAGGTTAAATTGTTATTTTAAGTCACATTTCTTGGCGCCTCAATGAAAGGACAGAACAGTACTGTGGTACTGAGAGCTTAATCAGACTCTAGACACCATGATAAGCAAATGCAAGAGTATATACCACCAGTGTAAGTATGTCTGGAGAAGTGGTGCCCCAAAAATCAAAGCGGATGTGGATATAGTAGAAGGGTTCAGAAAGGATTTATAGTAGAACGGAAGTCTACAAAAACCCTTGCATTCTCTGTTTAATGGACACAGATGTGACCTTCAGCACACCATCATCAGAAGGCAACACTGTAACTGATACATGGAATGAATAAATCAGTCAAGGAGACAAAATGAAATTTCAGGGGAAAAAAAAACCCCAAACATCAAACCCAAAATGATAAAAGGTGGGAAGATGGGTAGTGACATATGAAGTTGAAAGAATCAGCTGTAGATGTAAAAATGGCAACGTGTGGGTTATAAGTGATAGATATACTACAGGGAAAATAATTTAGATGTCTCCATCCGCATATTAACAAGCCCAGCTTCTCCATCTGTCCCCTATCTCAGCATCAATTAGTGGTCCGACGGTGGAAGTCCCTCTGACTTCCTTGGTGAACATCACCACTTTTATAAAACTGGGCAAAAATAACTGACCAAACTAGAGCAACTGAGATTCTGTGGTGTTTGTTTGTTTGGTTGGTTTTTTCCCCACCGTTTTTGTTTTGTTTGTTTGTTGTTTTGTTTTTTGGGGCGAGGGGGGCACATTTAATTTTTTTTTGAGATGCCAAGCCTGGCTGCGAAACCTCTTCACTGAAATGCTGTCTGTACTTTTACATTAGTCATACTGTTCTTGAGTATCTGCACTGGACTGCAATTATCAACAGCCTCTTGCATCATCAGAGCACAAATTCATCACAAAACCCACTAACCTTTATTTCCAGTACCACAAAAAGAACCCAATACCCTACGGTAACTTACGTCCTGCAGTACACGTTCTCCTCATGCCAGTATTTAAAGTCGGATAACTAATTAAGCCTGCATGATCAAACCTGCCTGAATTTGATTAATTATAAAAAAATCCACTCGTAAAGCAGGTAAGCACTACTGCACGGCAATGTCATTACAAAAAAGCAAACCGCTTCCTAATGCTGACGTTACACAACCGCTGCTGTTCGAATCGGCATGTCTCCGTGCATGACCCTGACCGAGTCCAACTGCACAGGGAAACATCTGACAGGATAATGCAGAGACAGCTGCCTAAATGGGGGCTGCAAGACTGCTGATTGTGAATTCTGTAGGCGGCCTTCGCTCCTCCGAAATATCCTCTTGCTTTATGAGTGCTTTTGAAATGTTACGTTAGGAACCTTCCCCACTGAACAAGGCGTGAGAGCTAGACCCCACGCTGGAAAACGCACCTGGCGATCCGGATCGCTCTGACATCCGGAAAGACTGGGAGAGGTTTCACCTGTCTTAACTTCCTCATGGTTTCTTGGGGACATTCTGAACGTCTTCCAGAAGTCAACATTACAGGGAAGTTGCCCAGAAAACCACAGTTACTCACAATACAACTGGTGACCTGCCAGAAAGGATATAAAGAAAAATACTGCAAATGACCTGTCTTCAAGTGCTACGTCTGTGGCAGCTTGTCTGTTCCCTTCAGCTCCTGAGCTGGTATGACACTGTACTATCACAGTTACGAATGCTGTATTTCCCTACTGATGATGATATTCTGGAAATAAAAAATAAGATGCTTGAAAAATGGAGGATGAACTCCCCCAGTCAGGTGCACACAACTGGAATGACATTTTCTCAGAACGTTTTATTGGGAAAGTTATCGCTGACCTTTTCATTTTCCCAGAATAGACATACCCAGTGGGTTGCAACAGCATAAGAAATAAGATTTTTATCCAGCCATTTTAAAGCTGTAATTCTGCAAAAGCAGACTCCAGCCACGCTGCCGCTGCCAAGGCCAGGGATGCAGCACCCAAACTGCCGTTCTAAGGGGGAGCAGTTTTAACAGCTGGGGCAGCTGGTGTATTTGTGCTCCCAGTTTACATGAGCGATGCCAACACCCACAACAGCGACGCAACCTACCTCGCCAAGGTAATTCTGTAGAAACTGACTTAGGAATTAGTCTGTTTAGTGTGCAACACATTACACGCATCCTCTCCTGCTTTCCTGATGGAGCACATTACTCCAGAGCCTTATATACACAACAAGTAACAACGGAGCCAACATACAATACTTCCTTTGAACATACTAATATTCAAAGCCTATACATTCATTTCAGTATCTGAGGTGACAGAGAGGCTTTCTCCTCTTGCTGATGCACTCATTCTCAGAAGGTGAAAGGCTGGCACGTAAGGGGAACATCCAGGTTGTTTTCCTATGGTTTGTCATTAAGGAAAATATCTGGAGGACCCACATGCAGAACGATGCTTATACCACGTGGGTGAATACCATTTGTCACACGAGGACAGTTGGAAGGAAGGAACACCCATCCAAAAAGGCCTAGATATACATCATTAGGGACACTCGCCTGTATTAAAGAGGAATCAAAATCCAATGTGCTAGGCTTAAGGTTCTACCAACCCCATCCCCCTCTACCAGGGGTTACTGGTTATTAACGTAAGCAAACCACACTTAGAGATTATCATGTCTACCAGACAGTAACAAACACAAATGTAGTATAAGCAGAGCTTTCTTGCGCTTTAGGTGCAACTGGAGGAAATTTTGTGACCAGCTCGGAATCACGGGATCTGTGATTTTCCCATGTCTGTTACTTCCTGCAGCATGTGGAAGGAGAAATGTATGTAGCAAAGGCATCAAATACAATTGGACATTCCCGTAACAGATGTCTTGAAAAGAAACGGCTTTTAGTGCTTTTGTTGTGAGGAGAAACAAACAAGACTAATTTCTGTATCACAGCTAAAATTTTTCTTTGTGCTTAGTGGTTACTTTCAACTCTATTTTGGTGCAGCAGTGCTTCTCACTCCTTTACGTAAAATTTGCATTCATTGATAACATTGGTTTACTCTGACTGTTATACTGAGCTTCGAACTAATTGCTCTCAATTAATCTGTTCCACTCTTAGATAGCTTATTTATCAGATTGGGAAAGATAGATTTAATGGTGCTTGCTGGAAACAAGTTCTTTAATTGGAAATACCAGAGTGTTTAGCTCACTTCGTGCTCTAGCAATTAAGGACAATTTGGAAAAGCGTTTTTCCCCCTCCTATTGTCTCCTTGATTAGATATCCAAAGAAGCAGACAAAACAAATGACAATACCACCTAGCAATATTGGTTCAAATAAAAGCCCAGCAGCCAAATTACTTACTATGAGAAATGTGAACCATCCCCATCAATTCCAATGCTGTGTTACATTCATTTTGCTGTATCTTTGCCTCCCAAGTAGGTAAATGGCAAAATTTCTTTCAAAATGCATAGCTCTATGCCTGCCTCTATACAATTATCCCTTTCCACAAATAAGCCAAATCAACAGAAGAAATTATTTTTCTTGATTAAGCTCCCACATTTCTCTTGGGATGAAACAAAACAAACAATTAATCTTTCCTTATTTGTTCTCAGAAGAACCTGCATCCCTTAAATGTACGATAACCAGGGTACCTGTGGCAGGCAGTCGGCAGCAATTAGGCTTGTGCTGAAAATGAATGGACTGGAGTCAGAATGCCTAATCTGCTGAGAGTTTGTACAGGAGGGCAAGGTTAGACCAGGAAAATTCCCTTGCTGTGGAAATACTGTTAAAAATTACCACTTGACTTCAGCATAATTAACAAGGTTTGGGAATTTATATGAACTGAGTAATTGAAAAGAATTAGCAAGAGATATATACATTAATCTTCACCAGTTACAACGTGCCTAATTAAATTAAAGGTTCTACTTCTACTTCATGCTTTGTTTCTGCAAACTTTGTTTATCTACAGAAGAAAAAGTATGTTAGATATAGATAACAATAGTTATGAGAAATTAAAAAGAAACTGCATCACAAAATTCAATACATCTTGGAGATTTTCTTATCTCTCATTCATAATACTTATCATAAGAAACTCTATGAAAGTTTCTTATTTTAATATTCATGCTTTTAAAGTCAGCAAGAAAACCCGTATCAGAATTATAAATTTAGGCATCATTCAGAAATGAACTTCTGTACACTTAACCAAATCTGTGTTATATTCAGATTTCAGAGACAGTAAGTAGATGAAAAGAAAAACAAAGGTGAGCAATGCTGATGTGTGTGGAGACAGATGACGTTAGCAGAAGATAACAAGCATTTTTTATTCTCCTAGGCTACCCACAAGCACAGGACGGTCTCCCCTTAGCTGAAATCCTTCAGCAGATACTTCAGAAAGGAGACATGCAAGACTGCATAAAAGCCAAGAAAAGGGAACACACACAAAAGAAATCTAATGCGGCAGAGGCCAATTTACTGCAGGACCAAAGGAGAAGGCTCACTGGCCACCTTCCCACAACCTATCTGCAGAAGACTAGTTGTCTCCTCTGCTCACATCTCTTAGCTACTGATGGACCAGCTCTTGATTCTTGCTTAAGCAGCCTTCTTGCAAATATTTTTTCTGTGCCTGTGCTTTTTCCTTGCCATATGCCTAAACCTGAAGTTTATGTATTACTTTCTGACAAAACCCTGTAATTCGTTCCACTGGTTTTTGTTGGGGCTTTTTGTTTGTTTTCCCTTCAGAATGGTCTCACTAAATGATACAAACAATGTTAGATAAAAACATTAAAGTTCTTACAGCACGTTTCAAAGTGAAGAATTGTCAGGTTAAGTTTATCCATCAAACTTTTAATTTAACTTCCTTACGTGAAGGATTTATTTAATGCTGCTTACATATACAGTATGATCCCATACTACTTTTTCCCCTAGAATCAGTTCTTCATGCAAAGCACAGAATGGACGGTATTCAGTTATTCAGCATATATTCAATATTTTGTTTTCTTCCTCTCATCTCCAAACATGCCTTATGTGCAAATTCAAATCGTGCTATAAAGACAGAATTATTCATTTCTTCATGAACTTTTTTCCTTAGTCCGTACATGCAGTTTATGAATGTGTAAAGAATATTAATGCAGTTCTTCATGCAAAGCACAGAATGGACGGTATTCAGTTATTCAGCATATATTCAATATTTTGTTTTCTTCCTCTCATCTCCAAACATGCCTTATGTGCAAATTCAAATCGTGCTATAAAGACAGAATTATTCATTTCTTCATGAACTTTTTTCCTTAGTCCGTACATGCAGTTTATGAATGTGTAAAGAATATTAATGATTGGTCTGCAGTCATGAGTGTAGGGTAAAGAATCCTATCCGAATGCATAAAGGCAATGATTTGGCAAACCTAGGTCTTAACTACAAGCTGATTTGTTGCTGTGCACTACTGAACAACCATAACAGAACATAGTGTGTTGCACTACACACGCAGTAATAAAATACTCCTTGACTGGAAAATAAGGTTCTCCCTTCACTGGCAATTCATTAAGTAACTGCAGATTAATTTTGAAGAAAAGCCCTTAAGACTTGCCTTGAAAGTCCAATTTAAAAAAGCAATAGTCATTACACATAAAAAAAGAATTAGCTTATGTAAAACAACACAGAGTAGTAAATGAAATGTGTTTAAAATGCTGTAGATTGATTAAAAAGATGGGGGAAACTGAGTCTATCCAGGCCACATCAGGTGGTGATAATAAAAGGTTTTCAAAGGAATTACAGCTCCCTCCTTCCTTTCTTGACTATAATGGACAAAAAATGTTTGACTTTTCCTCCCCCTGCCCAGACAAGCTCAAGAAAATCTACTGAACACTTCCTAAGGAAAATTTAATGCCCACATGTCAAATGAGGAGTTGCCTTCAGGATAAGGAAGGTGACCAATTTTATTTCACTGCGGCTCGATGAAGTAAGTATCTCACACTTTGTATTGCTCTAGAAGGAATCACGGCTATTAGAACAACCGGCCAACAGCAGACTGTAGCAGTGCACCAGCACCTGGGTTTTAATATCCCTAGTTCTGCTTTCACAGGCTGTGGCATCTTTAAAGACCTTAATTTCTTTCTCCCTCCTCTTAAAATATCTTACGGTTATTCTGGGTGTATGTCAGTCATGACAGAGACAATCTCTCACCCTATAGAAATGCACTATTAGTACAGTTTGATGTTCATCTTAACTTGGGCGAAGTATGTGATACAATAGCATGACAATAGACAGTATAATGAAGGGAGAATGAGCACTTAGATATGGTTTCTAAACCTGTCATGACTTCTAGCGTAAATTATGCTTTTAACTGGGTAGAATTTATCTTGATCAGATCAACATGTAAAAATGAAATGAGAGAGAAGTTCGTGCAGAACAATTCTATACAGCAAACCTAAACAGATTATTGAAGATGGAGGAAAAAATATGAATCATAAACTACAAAGTAGCACCATTTGAAAAGCTAAAAATGTAACTCTAAAACATAAACCAGGTAATTTTCCTAAGTGTGCTTGAAAGATGCTTGGAATACTTCTGCAGGGAACACCTCTGCAAACAGACACTCTTAATAAAG